CGACAGTCCTTGACTTGCAACCATTCATTTAGTGACCATTGGAAATTAACACAGCACAGAAAAAAAGTGACTTATGTCTGTTTTTCACACAACCGTTGCAGCGTCCCCTTGATCAGAATTCAGACCTTTGGCAAGTGGTTGATGTTTATGATGGCTGCAGTGTCCCTTTTGCGACCTTCTGACAAGCAAAAGGCATTGGGGAAGCCGGGTTCACTTAACCACCGTGTGACTAATTTAACAACTGCAGGGATTAACAACCGTGGCAAGAACGGTTGGGGCAAAACTCACTTAACAACTATCTTGCTTAGCAACAGACATTTTGGGCTCGGCTGCAAATTGACTACCTGTATGTAACTGATTATTCAGATTTCAGGTGACTTGTGCCAAATTAGCTCCATTGTCCCTTGTGGGGATTGTGTATTGTGAGCCACAGTGGCGCAGTGGTGAGAGTGCAGTACTGCGGGCTACTTCTGCTGCCTGCCAGCTGCCTGCCATTTGGCAGTTCAAATCTCACCAGGTTCAAGGTTGAAACCATCCTTCCATCCTTCCGAGGTGGGTAAAATGAGGACCCAGATTGTTGGGGGTGATAGGCTGACTCTGTAAACCGCTTAGAGAGGGCTGTGAAGCACTGTGAAATGGTATATAAGTCTAGGTGCTATTGCTATTGTCAATCAAACACTTATTAAGGATCTTCTGCGCAAAAAAGATCGATGTGTTCAGACATAAGTCACTTCATGGACCAAAAACTCTCCATCATCTGAAACCGCCTTCTGTTTTCCTTCCTGGCCCTCTGCCTCCAGAATGAAGCAGTCTCCCCTGTAGTGGTGATTGTGAGTGCCACACCCCTGGCTTCCTGATTAACAGATGTGCCAAGATGGAGTAAAAGAGGCTGCAAGAGAGAAGGAAGATAGGGTTGATTGCCAACCTGATGACCTCAAGATACCTTAGTTTATTGGGTTTCGAGAAGGCCTATGGGCTGCATTCGATGTGGCTTTGAGCCATACCTGGTCTTAGGTCCCTAATTAACAGGCTTTTCTTTCTCTGTTGGTATTCGTTCCAGGTGGTAAGCTCAACCAACGGCGAGTTGAACGTTGAAGAGCAAGCAGGAGCACCTTCCAACGTACCACTTGCGGCCCGTACTGAGGTGGAAGTAGTAGAGGAAGCTAAGTATGTTTGCTGTCAAGCAAGGTTTTCCCCTGCATCATCTCCGTGCAAAATATGTTGGTGTGTTTCCAGGCTTCGATGCACCCGTGCCCATAACGTGTGGTCAGATCCTTTTTTCCCCCGCTTTCCTTCTTGCATGGATAACCATGGCGTTGCTGGGTGCAGCTTCTTTTCCCTTTGGGCTGTCCGGGTCATGCTACTTCTGACCCGATGCATGTGCCACAGGTTGGACGGAGGGTTTCAGAAAATTTTTGCAACTGGCATGCGTAACCGATTCCCCCCAGGAGTGAAGGCTTGTAGCTGTTGGTCCTTACTGCCCTTTTCACTTCGAACAACTTCGATTTCTTTGGCATAGTGTAGTCTACTATTCAGAGAGACCCATGTTCCCCTCCTTCTCCCTCCCCAGTCGTCTTCTGAAGATCAAAGGTCCATGGTGCTTTAACTCCTCTTTGAAAAGAGATGATTTTTGTGTTCAGTAGGGGAACTTCTTCTGGCTCACAAAAGCCCTGAGTTATTTTGGCCTGCAGTGGGATTTATTTTGCTTCTGTTAGAAGTCGAGGCCATTGCTTTCATCTCTACCATCCAGTGCTACAGCGCATGGTTTATTATCACTTTAGGAACCATGATAGGGAGCCTCCTCCTCCTCCCTCCATTTCTTTTTCTCCACAAGGGAGGTGAGGACAGACACACTTGGCTATTTACACTGAGAAGAAGTTTCCTCAAAGACTTAGTGAGGGACAAAACTGCTGTTTGTCATGCCTGACATTATCTTGTGTTGAGACTCTGGAGAGTCTTTCAGCAATCATAACAATATTTCTGTAAGTTTTATGGCAGAGGTGATCCACGACTGGCTAGGCTAAAGGTGAGCTTCCAATATCCTTTCCAGGAAAGCAGGTTATCCGTGCCTTAAATTTAATTAGGCTTCAGGTTCTGAAGCCGCAGCTAGGAGAAGGAAGCCATCGCCCTAAAAATCTTTTAAGAAAAAGTTTATCAGTTCACAAACATTCCCACCTTCTCCCTTAAGGAAAAAACAACAACAACAACTATAGCATCTTTGAGCTCAGAAGAAGGAGAATTTTAATGATTTTTTTTAAAAATAAGCACAAATATCCTCGTGACAAAATATGGTATTTTATTAGCTTTTCGAGCTGATAACATTTGTCACACAGCAGGCGGTTAGTGACTTTCTGTGGTTGAAAGGCTGGAGATAGGAAAAAGACTGCATTTATTTAACTGCATTTATACCAAGTTGCTGGGAAGAGTCTTCAGCAGTTAGGAGAAGGGTTGGGTTTTTTTCTCCAGGAAATGTTATAGAAATGAACTAAACTTCAGCTCTTAAAAATGTCTGTCTGGGCCATAGCATTAATAAAACGGCCGAAAGAATTGTTCTGTATCTACCAAGCAAAGACAGACCATCCTCTCTGTGATAGGGCCAGTCAAGCTGAAGGAATGGGCTCCACTACTTTTCTGTAGTGGTTCCCATCAGCTCTGGAAGTTGACTTGGAGCAGTGTTTCTCAACCTTGGCAACTTGAAGATGTCCGGACTTCAACTCCCAGAATTCCCCAGCCAGC